ATGTTAGAGTAATTCTCAAATAGAACTTTTTAATAATTTCCAAATAACGGTCGTTTAAAACAAATATCGCGACAATAAAATCAAAGGTGAACTTACAGCAAAGGAAATTTTCAAAGTTCATTTAAAAATCATTGAAATGTTTGAGGAAAACGAATTCTCACAACAAATCCGAATGTTAAAACATGGAAAGCAATTAATCAATAAAAGTAGTATATTAAAATTAAATCCCTTTGTAGACGAAATTGGCATCTTGCGTGTAGGAGGTAGATTGCGTAATTCTGGCATAAGTTTTGAAAAGGAGTACCCAATTTTGTTGCCTCGAAAAAGGCATATCATACAATTAATTATTAGAAACGAACACGAAAAACACTGGCATACAGGTATGTAAAACACTCATAATTATATACGGCAAAACTATTGGCCTATATAGAGATAGAAAAAATAAAGTACGTTTTATATGGCGTGAATGAATTAAATGTTTGAAACTAAATCCCAAGCTGCCTGACTATTTTATGGGTGATCAACCCAAAAAATAGTGATATAAACTCGCCCTTTTGAAAACAGGTTTAGATTGATAGTGATCCATTTCATATAAACGAAAAAAAAAATCAATTTGTTTTAGCTGTAATAATCTTCGAGATAAAATTATAGCATTCACTACAGTTATTGATTGTAATTCATTTAACTTATTTTGTTATATATAAATATAACATATGTACATAAATATACATACAATAATATTCTGGTAAAAAAGAGTTCCGCATTTGTCAATTTTTGTTAGTATTACCTGAAAAAAATTAGAGGTAGAGGTTCCGCTTTTTATCGCTTCCGCATCTGTCCGGGCACCCAAAAAATATGACAACAAGATTAAGAGAGAAATGCTCTTTAGTGGCATTATTTATTATATTGTTTTAGCTACAATAATTCTTTCTGTTAAAATTATTGGTCTAATAATTTATAATTTATATACATTATTTAAGTATCGTTGTAGTGAAATAAAGATTTGTAATAAAAAAAAGGTGTCGCTTAAAAATTCCTTTTATTTTAATTTGTATGTGCTTATGACTGGCATTCAATGATATGCTAAAAATTACAGAAATAGAATTACAACTATTAACTAATGCTGTTATGATAATGTTATTAGAACATGTCATACAAGAGGGAGTGTCACAATCGTGTAATCGGTACGGAAAAGTAAATAATAAATACATGGGAAACAATTTTAATCTAACGAACCTAGACTATATCTAATGTTTTATGACGTAAATAACTTTTACGGTTATGCAATGACATTCCCACTACCCGAAGGTCAGTTTGAATGGGTCAGTGATGTTTATTCTGTAATCATTGTCAATGATGAGTTTGAGTATATTTAGCAAATTGATCTATATCCCACTAAACTTCATAAGAAACATTATCGTTGTTTCCAGAACATTTAATTCCAGTCGATTTAAAAACATCTAAATTGATGACAACACTCTACGATAAGAAGAAATATGTTCATTATAGGATTATAGAAATTTAAAACAGGCATTATATTTAGGTATCGAAATTGAATCCAAACAATGCAACTACAACTTCATCACCGAAGAATGACCTCGAAACACTTCTTCGCACACAGCCGAAGAACAATCTCAAAAACAACCCGCTTTAGCGCCAAAGAATGACATTGAAAGACTTCTTGACCGTTGAAGCACCACCCTTCAACTCCTACGCAATGATAAGAAGTGAATAGACGCGTCACCTTCAGTCGTAGGATATTTTTGATGTATATTTATACTATATAGCAGTATTAGCATCCAGCAAGGAAGACCTAGGGATAGCTTTAAATAAAATGGAAGCGGTACTGACAGATCAGTACTGTATAAAAAAAAATAAAAGTAATACTAAAATACTGATATGCAAGGGAAGAGAAAATAGGGAAAGGGTGAATATAAAGATAGGAGACGAAAAATTAGAAGAAGTGGCTGATTTTAGATACCTAGGAAGTCAGATAAGTCAGGATGGAAGGAGTAGTACGTATATAAAGCAGAGGATAGCGCAGGGTCGTGTCGCCTTTAATAAAAAGAAGTCACTTCTATACTCGCGAACGGTTAATTTAGAAATTCGAAAAAGGTTGTTAAAGGTGTATGTTTGGAGCGCGGCGTTATGCGGGTGCGAAACATGGACAGTGGGTGCGGCGGAAAATAAAAGGTTAGAAGCGTTCGAAGTGTGGTGTTATAGGCGGATGATGAGGATATTGTGGGTAGAAAAGGTTAGAAATGAAGAGGTATTGGAAAGAATAGGAGAATAGAGGACTCTATGGAAGTCAATAAAAAATAGGCGAGATAGGTTGGTAGGACACCTTCTTAGGCATGAAGGTCTAGTCAGAGACATATTAGAGACAGAAACAGGAGTTAGGAGGGGTAGAGGTAGACCTAGATTAGATTACTGTTCGCAAATAGTTAAGGATGTGGGCTGTTCTAGTTTTAGGGAAATGCGAAGTTTAGCTCAGGATAGGAAAGAACGAGGTACGTGTCCAACCAGTCTTAGGACTGACGACCTTATGATGATGATGATGATATATATAGGTACTAAATAATGTCGAAGTTTTAATCCTTGAGCCTACATGTAAATGTTACACACTCTCTACTGTCCTATACGCAACTTCAAAAATATGTCCCAATACTTCAGCTTCATCCCCATTGTTTACTTCACAAGTGAAGATTACTGGGTTAAACGACGAAAGCGTATGAATCAACCGAAATATTAATGAAACCCCTGGAACAATAATTTCAATTTAGGTGAATTACGTCACTCGCCACATAAATTGAAACGTAGACCAATGAATCAATCACCACTGTCATTCTACAGCAAATTCCGTTCTTCTGCTCCTACCTACGAACCTAGAACAAATGAAGAATTCGCAACCAAAAGTAATGTAGAAACTATCATATTTTCTTGTGGTTCTCTCCCTCAACCAATTAAGCTAATCCACGCTAAGAAACTGTTTTACAATTTAGGCGCGATAGAGGGATACATACTCATATAAAAAGGGAAAACTGAGAATTAAAACGGAAGTTCTTACTCTGATCTCCGAACGCTAACTGCCGGTCTGTTGTACATTCTTTCTACCTATATTTTTCAAACTTAGAATAAAGTAATCATTTAGAGGGTATCGTATTAATTTGCTATCTTAACTTAAAGTGTCAGTTCACACGAATAAAAAACTACTTGGTGTCAGAAAAAGTGTCAACAATAGCGTTGAATCAAGGCTATACCTACAGCACGCTTGGTATGAAGGTATTACCCCGATTTTCAACCAGGTTCGGCTCAACGCTTAATATTGCTGGGCTGATGCGGATTTTCACTTTTACGATCAGAATATTACTTACTTTTTACAGCAACATACAAATCGTTTCTTATGTAGGTATTGTCTATAGTGTATTCCTACTTAATGGATGTACTAATGCAGGCTAAGTACACTACAATAATAATAATAATATAAAATGAAAAATAATACTTAGGTATGACCCGCTTTTTCATCATTTCGTTAAAAATCTTTCTGTTACAAGTACACGATATTCTTCAGAGAGATAGAGAGAGAGAGAGTGAGAAAGAGAAGGAAAAAGACATGCTTGTCACGCATCACTAACTACATCCGCTTGGTTCTCTTACATTTACAACACGATGCAGTGAATATTCACAGCCATGTGTATTCTGATCCTTAATAACGGGAACAAATGTTCAAAGGTGACTCGTTCGAAACACAAAAGTTAAAGTGAAATTTAAAAATGAATACACATTAACATTAAACGGAAAGAATATAGAAGATAATTTAGAGTCAAAAAGTGGTTTCAGTCGCATTTCGTGTCAAAAATCCCGTTTCAGTAAATTAATTGTCAAAGTAATGAAAGGTATTCTATGTAGTATTTATCATTTACAAGATTTTACTCGCGGGTTCACTAGCGTTGATGTCCTAAATATGTGTCCAAAATCGTCGACGAACATATAAAAGTAATTTTTTATTCTTCGGGAATAGCATTTTTTCTTCTGGATAAAAGGAACCCTATGTCCTTTTCTGTACCCAATGTGTCTACAAAATTTCAAGATGATCGATCGAGTAGTTAAGGCGTGATTTCGACCACACAAAATTAATTTTTTTCTATTCCTTGGGAACAACATTTTTTCTGGATAAAAGGTACCCTACGTGCTTTTCTTTAACCCCGAAAATGTGTCTACAAAATTCCATGATGATCGATTGAGTAGTTAAGGTGTGAAATCGACCACCTAAAATGTTTTCTATCCCTTAGGAAGAGTTTTTTTTTTCTCTAAATAAAGGGTACCTTATATGGTTTTCTGTACCCCTGACAATGTGTGCATAACATTGCATGATGATCGGTTGAGTAGTTAAGGCGTAAAAAGTCATAAACAAACAAACAAACTCATATTCTTATTTATAATATTAGTATAGGATGTTCATTATTTATCAGTCAGTTACTTAAGCTGTTGAGACTCTCATTTTTAATGCTTACAAACTTAGAAACGAGTCGCTAATGAATTTTAGAAAACCTTGGATAATATTTGCAGACAATTCAAGCGGTTGCGATGGCGGAATTCTTTCTCTTATTAAATATTTCATGTACATTCCATTCGTGAATATATCAATAAGGTCCATTTTTAATGGTCAATAACGTAAACTTTTTAAAAATATTTAATTTCAGTTAGTTTAATAATTCAAAACAGTTTTTATAATAACAGGTTTATACTTATTGCTATTAGAAATGCTTTTAATTACTTTTGCATCTAATCCGGCTGTATTAATTATCACAAATAGGGATGGTCTCTAAAGAGCAATAGCACACGAAACTAATCTGAAAACTTGTTGCCTGCCCTTTGTACATTTACATTCGTTATATGAAAATGGACTTAAAAGAACAGTCTTCATTTTTGCTTTGGGATGAAAACATGTAGGTACATTGTAAAAATTATTGGTAATTAATTACTGATAAAAAACTTACCTAATCTTCCTCGTTAACAGCAACAAAAAAATAATATTTTGCAAATACACTGTATGCAATTGTCTCTATTATCAGCTTTCCTGTTTAATTTGGATCTATGTAAAAAGATGACACTTGAGATATACTCCTTTCCGTTAATTAAATGATACACATTAACAATTACTGTTTTTCACACTTTCACATTACATTATTTTCCATTGTTATTAGTGTGGCCATACAGATTTACTACACCAAAACAACTTTAATTCTGCCATATACTACGCGCTGGCTGAGAACGAGAGAAACCTGACGAGTGAACGGTGACTATACAGTGGCTACTAATGTTACTACTTGCCAGTACTGTTATTGTGTTATTAACAAAAATTATAACCAAGAGGGGAGAGTTCTTGACGAGCAAGCATAATTTCGAATAAAAAGTCTTTGACAAGGTCGAATGTGATCGCTTTCCGCAAAATAACCTTGTGCCTGAAGTGTTACAACCGGAATTTCACTCCTACCAAAGACACACTTCTTATCTAGACAATTTTTATGTGCTGCAGTTTTATAATCAGAAAAAGTGAATAAATCAACAATGTAATTAATATAAGAAATATAAATTATATTTGTTGTTTATTTGGATTGTCATTGTATTGTATGTAAGTGGTAATATATCCCAAATGAGAATTGGTAATTTTAAGTAAATTATAACCGTAGCACCAAGACGCGTGAACAAACGTTGTAATATCTAGGTAGGTATAAAAAACAGTATTAGTAGTTAGGAAGATAGTCAAATAATGCCTTAAGCAAATAAACAAAAACAAACGATCGCATACTTAATAATTTAATCAATAGATGTCAGCACAGGTACTGTATGTCTGAGAAGACGACTTAATTCCTAATATAACTACCAAAAACATTTTAATGTAGGTAAGACCTCATTGTAATATAAATAAATATGTAAATGAAAATATGTTGACCGCAGAAAAACTACAATTATCGAGTTACTTTACATTAATTTATATTGAAAATGAAAAGCTATATGATAAATCGCTTAATAAGCGTTTTGAAAAATAGAAGTTATTTCTTTGAAAAAATGAAAAGAATTCATTGGATAAGGGCATAGGACGCGAATAAGTAAAGTGGTTGAATTATGCATGAGTGTTATTGGATGTGATTCATCATCATCATAATGTCGTCAGTCCTAAGACTGGTTGGACACATACCTCCACTCTTTCCTATATTGAGCTAAACTTCGCATTTCCCTAAAACTAGAACAACCCAAATCCTTAACTATTTACGAACAGTAATCTAATTTAGGTCTACCCCTACCCCTTCTAACTCCTGTTTCTGCGTCTAATATGTCTCTGACTAGACCTTTATGCTTGAGAAAGTGTCCTACCAACCTATCTCGTCTATTTCTTATTGACTTCTATAGACTCCTCTGTTCTCCTATTCTTTCTAATACCTCTTCATTTCTAACCTTTTCTACCCACGTTATCCTCATCATTCGCCTATAACAACACATTTCGAACGCTTCTAACCTTTTCTTTTCCGCCGCACCCACTGTCCATGTTTCGCACCCGTATAACGCCGCGCTCTAAACATACACATTTAACAATTTTTTTCGAATTTCTAAATTAACCGTTCGCGAGCATAGAAGTGACTTCTTTTTATTAAAGGTGACACGACCCTGCGCTATCCTCTGCTTTATATCCCTACTACTCCTTCGGTCCTGACTTATCTGACTTCCTAGATATCTAAAATCAGCCACTTCTTCTAATTTTTCGTCTCATATCGAGTTACTTTACATTAATGTATGTTGAAAATGAGAAGCTATATAATAAACAAATTGTTTAATAATCGTTTTGAAAAATAGAAGTTATTTCTTTAAATAAAAATAAATTAAAAAATTGACGGTGTTAAGGGCAATGGACGCGAATAAGTAAAGTGGTTGAATTATGTATGAGTCTGTTATTGGATGTAACTAGTTAAGTATAGTACATCCATTGTCGATATAAAAAACTAGCTGCTGTCTGCGAATTCGTCCACGTATATTCTGATTATATCGCAAACATCCATTTTAGACTATTAGGGGTGGTATTTTGAAATTTAATTTTATAGCTTTGCATTAGGAAATGTGGTGTTAGAGATGAATGATGAAGGTACCGTTGATAAAGTCCACAATAAAAGTGGCGAAACACATGCCCATTATTAAAAAAGTGTAGTATATAGGTAAGGATGAGTTTCTTTAATATTATGCCATATGAAAATTTTTTGAAATTAAACAGAAATAGAAATAATTATGATGTGTATGTAGTTAGCGTACGTTGCTCTATATAATTCACGGAAAAGTTCGGTTGTACCAGTACTGGGGATACCATGGATATTATGACCAACTCTTAATATTTTCCACAATTATTTCTATTTCTGTTTTATTTTAAATTTGCTGAAGGAATTATTTGACCATTTTTCTAACTGATATTGTTAAAATAAACCTAATTTAGGGGTAGTTTGAGTAATTCTAATTCGGTCCTAAGGAACACTTCTTAATAAATGTCTTACTTACACATGGAGTTAATAAGACGATAGTTAGTAGGTCATTAGGCAGAACGAAATTGGCCTACCGCTATAACACCAAATAACAATTCCGATTACCATAAGTTGGGAATACGTAATTTACGCTGATCTAAACAATTTTTAAAAAGGACCCAATCGAAATTTAGGCATGCCCAAAATAAATCCTAATCAGGTTTATTTTTAATTATTTACCACTACTCTGTTCTGCTAAATTCCCCTGAAGCTACCAAAAAAAACAATATTAAAAAAAGGTTTTTTTTATTAGGGCATTTAATGAGCACATAATTTTGCAATTCATAATCATTCAATTAGTTTTAATTTTTATTGTATAACAGTACACCCTTCTGCGGAATTCATCTGAAGCTAGCAGAACATACGATATTTTTTAAACAACGGGAGCAAAAAATTTTTTATTGAGACATTTAATTAGCAGTATATTAGCATTAAATTATTAGTCATGTCGTCTTTTGTTCTCTTGACTTTCCTCTGCTAACTTCATGGACATCTTTAAACTCCTCTGCGAACGAACCAATTACCTAACTGAATCCAACTTCGAAAAAAGTAATTCTTTTCAAGATTACATTAGCTTTTTTACTAATAAAATTAAAACACTTATTTAAATATTGCTATATATAGGTATATTGCAACTAAAGATCTATTGGTTGTTTTTTAATGGGAACAATTTTAATCAAGCGTAAGAAATTACTAATTAGGTACATGTCTTTACATGTGGTTTATGCTCTTTGACCGTCTGTTTGCAATTTTGAAATTTTCTTAATGCGAAACTTATAAGTAGTCTTTTTAGTCCAATCAAGGAAGTAAGATGACCTTATTTTCCCTTACGACGTGTAGAGGACACAAACTAGTATTTTTCAGAGGACAAAAATAAAACGTCTGTACAATAGGCGTAACTGGCCTTTGAACGTACAGGCGATTTATTAATGGTCCTCAATAAAAAATATCTTTTCGACAACTACCCACCGGGGGTAACTTTCTAAACGTTGACCCTGGTGTATGAAAAATTGAAGACTCGATAGTCGGTCGGAGTATAACACATTGAAAGGTCCTCTAGTTCTCCTCACTTCTCAAAATAAAATAAAAAAGGAAATTAAAATAATTAATACGATTACACGTCAGTTTTATTCACGACTACCGAGTTTCCCAAATTGCTGACCCCGACGTGATTAACTTTGTTCGGAAAACGTAGTGTATTAAAAAAAAATAGAACAAAAATCGTGAAAAGTGCGGAACAATGAGTATCAACGGTGAAAACAGTGCCGCGTCTGCGTCATACAATCACGCGTCAGCAGTGGTAAAGTTACCCGATTTTTGGCCCAAAAGGATAGCCTTATGGTTCACTCAAGTGGAGGTTGTATTTTCGTTAAATTGGATAACCAAGAATGACACAAAGTACATTCACATCGTCAGCCAGTTAAGCCCTCAATACTTGGACGAAATCGAGGACATTCTTATGCATCCACCAGCAGAAAATAAGTATGAGACCATCAAGGCGGTGCTTATTAAACGATTATCCGACTCGGATACAGCCAAAGCACGACAACTTCTCGAAAGGGAAGAAATCGGCGATAGAACACCGGGTCAGTTTTGGCGGCATATGAAAAAGCTTGCCAATAATAAACTGCAAGACGATCTACTGATTGAACTATGGAAGAGCAGACTGCCCATTCGAACCCAGGAAGTGATAGCTGCCCTGGATCAAACGGATGGCGAAAAACTAGCTGAAATCGCTGACCGGATTCATGACGTGTCGCCAACGCATAACCGAGTAGTCGCTGCAATCTCCCTCAATATGCGACCAATTTACGAAGATAATTGAAAGGATGGAAGCGATGCAGCTAGAGGTTATAAGTGCTATAACGAAAAATAGCACACCGAATCGTAGTAGATCCCGCTCCAGATCCCACAGGAATAACCGGGGTCGCAGCAACAGCCGTGGTCAATTCGCGACTTGTTGGTACCATTATAAATTTGGTGCCAATTGCCGACCTGAGAAATGCGTACCACCGTGTAATTTCAAAAGGGCAGAAAACTAGAGGGGCCGTCTGTGTGCGCGGCGGTCGAGGGCCCCAAAAACGGCCGCATTTTCGTTACCGATAAAGACACCAAAATTTTTTTTAATCGATACCGGCGCAGATATATGTGTGTACCCGCGATCTAAAATAGGTGGTCGTGCAATAAAGTGTCAATACGAGCTTTGCCACGTACGGTATAGTAGCTTTAAATTTAAATTTTAATTTACGACGGGAATTTTTGTGGCGGTTCATAGTGGCCGACGTAGATTTTCCCATCATCGGTATGGACTTTCTTTCACATTACAATCTGTTAATAGACCCACGTCATAAAATCCTCATAGACTCGACAGCGAAACTTAAAACTACGGGAAAAAGTGCAAACAAGGTTGTGGCATGAATAAAAACAATTATTGGTAAAACGAGATACCACCATTTGCTTGCCGAGTACCCTGAATTAACCAGACCTGCAGTATTTCGTCGACACCTGGTAAAACATGGAACAGAACATCACACTGAAACAACTCCAGGACTCCCGGTTTACAGCAAACCCGGAAGGCTCGCACCCGACCGGCTGATGGCAGCAATGGCAGAATTCGACCTGCTTTTACGACAGGGAATTATTCGTCCTTCAAAAAGCGCGTGGGCTTCGCCTCTTCATATCGTACCCAAGAAGGATGGAAAATTAAGACCTTGCGGAGACTACCGTGCTCTTAACGCCCGGACCGTCCCAGACAGGTATACGCCACCTCACATAGAGAATTTTACTCATGAATTATACGGTAAAGAGATCTTTTCAAAAATAGACTTAGTCCAGGCGTATAATCAGATTCCAGTAGCGTCCAAAGACATAGAAAAAACCGCGATAACTACTCCTTTCGGTCTATTTGAATTTTTATTTACTCCCTTTGGTTTAAGAAACGCTTCACAAACTTGCCAAAGGTTCATAGACAATATA